GTTGCCCAATACTACTGCCAACGACTGCTTGTACTTAATATGCTTAGAGCTTATTTCCTAATGCTTGCAGAGTAAGACTTTGGTTGGCTTGCTTGCTTTGTTTGTATTAATATGATAAACGTTTACTCAAGCTTTGTAATTAAGATTGACATCTGAACACAATATAGATAGGCATAGTTAAACCTGTATATATTATATTTAAATTTGATTGGATGTTATCCCAATTACAATTGTACAATATTCAAACAAAGCAAGCAAGCTAACCAAAGTCTTGCGCTACATGCGTTAGGAAAATAGCTCTAACAAGACCGTATTATAGATGGTCAGTGAATGAATATATTTTGTGGGGTTAACCATGTTAACTGCATACATGTTGTGTGTGTATTTCATGTATGATTATACAATGTATTAGATCATTACATTAAATGGTTAGAAAAGAGTTGATGTCTGTAAATATATTGCTGAGGCTTTCAGAAATTTGTCCTTATTTTAGGATTAAGAGTTTAATGATAAATGCAGGATATCCAGTTACATTTAATGACATGTGTAAGTTATTTAAAATACATGTACCAACTCTAGAAAAGTCTGAATAAAGTTTTTTATTTTGTATTATGGTACATCAACATAATGCGTGTATCTTTTGTTCTGTTGTTTACCCTTGCAGATACCTTTGTGACATGTTGTAAAGACAGAACAAAATCCTTTTTACACATATATGTACTGATTTTTTGTCTAAGGGACCTTTTAACATTGTTTAGCAATTCTTTGAGTTTTGGGTATCAGATAAGAAATATGAATTGAAAAAAAAGAACCTTTTTATCAACTGTACATTACATTCATAATCATAGATTGTACGTCATATCACTCTTTGCAGTGAAATTTCACAGTGAATGCTGGTGATTGTTTATGTTGTTGGTGATTCATTTTAATATACATGTTACGTATATATTACTCAGTATTTTAATAAGTCATCAACTTGATCAAGTATACATAAAATTGAGAATGGAAACGGGGAATGTGTCATAGAGACAACAACCCGATCAAAGAGCAGAAAACAGCCGAAAGCCACCAATTGGTCTTCAACACAGCGAGAAAATCCCGCTTCCGGAGGTTGTATGCATGTATGTAAAAGGGGTAATTCAGATTGTTGTCACCTAAAATCGACAGCAATAACCCTGTTTTACTGATTCACTCAACAATATGGTTCTGTAAGTGATTTTGAACAGAGTGTGCAATAATCAGGTTATATTATGAAAAATGTTGAAAATCTGAATGTTCATTCAATGATAGGTATGATTGACCCAGGGTTCTCACTAAGGATTTTGAAGGCTAGTCCAGGGACTTACCATATTTCGCCATGCAGAGTCCAACAGTAAGAAGCAATGTTATCAGTATATATACCAGTAGTTTAGTTAATGATTGAAGTCTCCCTTTCAAAACTTGTAGAGCAAGGAAATGACATCAAACTTAGTTTTTAAACTTAACTTGGCTCAGTTGATACAACATTTTACATCAAGATGCATGTTTGGACTGACAAGTTTTGAAAATGGTAAGTGCAGACAGATTTTCATGAGTCCAGGACTCATGGACTCGCCTTACATGCCTTAGTAAGACCCTGTTGACCTTTGTTAGATAGAACATCAACATGTCATCTTTTAGCCGCTATTTCTCAATAGGTCAGTTCTGTTTACAAATGGATTGTTATTGGTATTCAAACAAGACGTTAGTTATTTAAACAAGACAGTAGTTGTTAAAAACTTATTGCTGTAGTGACCTTATATTAACCCAAGCCTCATAATTTTGATGTCACCAGCTATAAGTTTTAAATTTTTTTAAAAAGCAAACTTTTGTAGCAGTTTACATTGAATTATTATAACAGGGGGAGATTTGGGAATGTCAGAGGGGTCACTGTACCCCCCTGCTTAAATCAGGGGGAAAAAATTTGTTGTGCCAAATTTGTGTAACATTTATTATGGTTGTGTCCCCTAATTTTAAATCTGAGATTTACGTCTGATTGACCAATTGCAAAAAAAAAGTTATGGTCAGGTTATGTCTATACATATATTCACCGTTGTTCAAAATGACAATAAATAAATCCACCAAAAGGCAAAACGGTTGATGAATAATTCCAATTTTGAAGTATTAATTATTTCATTGTTGAGTAATAATAAATGGCACCAATTTCATTAACCATGAGGGAATGCCTCTGTCATGTCTGTCATGTCTTTTGTAATGTTAAATTTTACAAATTTCTTGCAGAAGGAAAATAATGATATTTTAAAATTGTTTGATTTGAAAAATAAATTTTCTATTCTAATTGCTAAAAGAATAACTTTTATTTAAATACTTGTACATGTACTTGGGCCATGTTGGGTCAATTTGTAACTACATGTTATAAATAAATGACGTACAATGGATATAAGTACAGGAGTGATACCAATGATTCGATGTATTGTATTTATAAATAATAAATAAATGACGTACAATGGGTATAAGTATAGGTGCTGTGACAGAAAATGTAAAAGAACATAAACATATTTGTAACCTAAACATCCTAGTAGGAAATTAACATATTTAATCATGTTGTATACTTGTAATAATGTAGAGAATTATAATACATAACATACATGTACTGATACGTCTTTAAACATGTTAAGTATTTCTCATTTTTTGTTTCAATCATCATTAGAACTAAGGTCATTCACATTTCATGAAAGCGGATATGATAGAGGCATACATTAAGTCATACCACATTTATCATTCTGAAATTATATGGATTAAAAAAAAACTACTTGTGGACCTGTTTAATATTGATTCTGAGTAAGACATTTAAATTTGTATAGTCATTCAAGTAGAAAAGACAGAATAGGTTTAAATAAATATAACACGAAAGGTTAAAAAACTGTATGGTCTAAATTTGAGACAGGAAATATATATAGGATAGGTACAAATGTATCCCTAATATTTTTATTAACTTTTGTTGTTTGGCAATATTCATGCAGTGGGATATCCAGTGAACGAAAACAAAAGAAAATTCACTCTTCTTATGACGAGTCGAGAAAGTCAATAATAAAACAATACTGGTGACGATACGGATCAAAAGTTATTTCTAAATAATAATTGTACATTTTAAAGAAATTATTTGTTAAACTGTGTTGTTAAAAATAATCATGCAAATACCCGATGTTTTATGTTCAGTTTTTGTACAAGTTTTGTACAAGTATTTGCGGTTTTCTCGATCTATTCACATTCAATGTTTACATTGAGATAAGGTCTGTTTGATTTTGCTTAGTAACTTAATTTCAAAAGTGCCAATTTTTGCTGCATATCCACAATGATATCAATCAATTCCTTTGGAATTTTTTCCCTGACTTTCTCTGATCTAGCTGTATATATATATACGAAAAATTAGCATGTTCCAGAGAGGTATACAGACAGTAAAAATATAAATTGAAGTTGGTACTCCAGGAAATTTATTCGCATAGCAACATTTTAAACCAATTTTACCCCAAGCGTCTATAGCCTGCTACTCAAGGAGGAAAATGATAACATTGAGAGGAAGTTTTGTTTTTATTTCAATTTACTTCTATTTTTACTATTTACCAGAACGTTTTTCCATGAATCCATAATTGATAGGGTCCTTGCTAAAATGGTGCAAACAAACATTTGAGAAGATCTTGTTTTCAGTGTTTTCAGTGGAGGTAATATTTTGTCACTAGATTTCCCACTGCATGATAAATAAAGCAATGTTATTAACACAATTAATCACAACCATTCAAATCTTGATGGCTGAAGACTTTTTTCACCTTTATACTGTAAAACCATTTATACTGTTTTAATCATTATTATTGAAACAAAAAGTAAATATTTTTTTTTTTTTTTTAAAGGCTGGGCATTCATGTTGTATAGATACTTCTTCCATGATCTGAATTGAAAATGACAGAATTTGGAACTTTTGTAGAAGCTATCCCAAATCTTATATGATATAGATTCTCAAATAAACAAGTATTGTTATGACTGACAATTAAATCTTGAGTGTCACATAGGGTACTGTAATTCTGTAATCAAACCATTGTTTAGACTTTTTCCCTTTATGGCTGATTTTTGTTCTGGAGTTTATTTTTCTATGTTAGAATTGAAAGAAGGAGACAAAAACTATCAAACAGGATACTATTTGTTATAATATGATAAATAAAATACAGTTTAAGAAAAAAATTGACATTTATAGTTTCAGATAAAAATTTAATGCCCATAAAAATGAAAGATAAGTACATTCTTTTCTTTGAGAAACATTGAGAAATGAAAAATCGTGATGAGTTGTGTCATCAAATAGTTTCATCCTCTGCTGTCCTTTCAACAAAGCCAAGAGTACAAGTGACGTATGTACAAACAATAAAAGATAAAAACATCAGAGTCAACTATGTCAATAAAATGAATAAGGAGGAAGTTAAAAGACTAGAGACATAAGGTTTTATTAGAAGAGATATTTTTTTTTACAAAAGCATATAGATACCAGGTGAGCAGCAAAAGCTGTGTGGAACCTCAAGTTAAAGTTTGGTGACTTTTTGAGTCACAACTGTAAATATATCATAAGTTCTATTTTATGTACTTATATATATATATCTTTTGTCTCCTGATAGTATGCTATCCTCAAGTGGGGAAGGTCATGGATTCAATTCCTGGCTGGGTCAAACCAAAGACTTAAAAATTGGAATTGCTTATTTACAGCTTTGAAACATGTCTTCCTGCAGATTGTTACCATTATAAATGGCTCAGTGTGTCAATCTAGTACAAAGCAGGGTTCAAGTCCTTATCATATTAACATCTTGAATTTTATGCATTTAAATTACCTCTGCCATCATTACATCCATCCTAGTTAAGATATTTATATTTCTAAGTGGATATACTATACTATTAAGTATATTTTTCAAATCATGAAATGTATATGAACAAAACATTAATTAAAATTAAATAAATTTATGTTAATTTTGTTGTTGCAGAAATTAGAACTAACAGCTGATGAAAACAACCACCATCCAGGAGAACTGACCAGAACTACTTTTGAGGTATGTACTGAAGATTATATTTGTGTGTTGCTTTCAATTAATACCTGAACAATTTGATTTTTGATATACCAAGGAATGCAAAAAATAATTTAAGAGGGTCTGGATGGGGGATCATTCATTTCTTTATTCTTTATCTTTTTTAGACCATTTTTCTCTATTCTTTATTTATTAAGTCTCCCAAACGAAGTTTGGGAAGACTTATTGTTTTTGCTCAGTTCTTATTATTATTATTATTCTTCTTCCTCTTCCTCTTCCTCTTCCGCCGCTTTTAAATCTGAACTTGTCCGCACCCGTTCTCCAAAACCGCTTGTCAGATTAACTTAGGGTTTCACAATATGTTAGACTAACATGTCTAGTGGTGCAATCAGGGTTTTGTTTGTGCAATGGGGTTTATAAAGGGGTACTTTGAGGGGCAAAAAGAAAAGAGGGTTTTACTATAGAACCCTATGGGATTTTATTTTTTAAAATTTTCAAATGATTATAAATTGAAAACCGTTTGTGATAGACACAATCTTTTTAATTGAAAATGTTCTAAATGACAAAACCCATTAAATGAAATACAGGGTTAGTCCCCAGGGGTCATCCCCACCCCCTGCCATTTAAGAAAGTTCTAATACCTTGTAAGAGGTCAAGATCCCCACCCCTAAACCATATATATTATGGTTTGTCATGCTAAGATGGTTTGAATGATATACAGGGTTAGTCCCCAGGGGTCATCCTGACCCCCTGCCATTTGAGAAAGTTCTAATATCTTGTAAATGGTCGAGATCCCCATCCCTAAACCATATATATTCTGGTTTGTCATGCTAAGATGGTTTGAATGATATACAGGGTTAGACCCCAGGGGTCATCCCGACCCCCTGCCATTTGAGAAAGTTCTAATATCTTGTAAATGGTTGAGATCCCCACCCCTAAACCATATATATTCTGGTTTGTCATGATAAAGCACATAAAATGAAATACAGGGTTAGTCCCCAGGGGTCACCCCCACCCCATGCCATTTAAGAAAGTTCTAATATCTTGTAAGTGGTCAAGATCCCCACCCCTAAACCATATATATTCTGGTTTGTCATGCTAAGATGGTTTGAATGATATACAGATTAGTCCCCAGGGGTCATCCCGACCCCCTGCCATTTGAGAAAGTTCTAATATCTTGTAAATGGTCGAGATCCCCACCCCTAAACCATATATATTATGGTTTGTCATGATAAAGCAAATCAAATGAAATACAGGGTTAGTCCCCAGGGGTCACCCCCACCCTATGCCATGTAAGAAAGTTATAATATCTTGTAAGTGGTCAAGATCCCCACCCCTAAACCATATATATTCTGGTTTGTCATGCTAAGATGGTTTGAATGATATACAGGGTTAGTCCCAAGGGGTCATCCCTACCCCTGCCATTTGAGAAAGTTCTAATATCTTGTAAATGGTCGAGATCCCCACTCTTAAACCATATATATTCTGGTTTGTCATGATTAAGCACATGAAATGAAATACAGGGTTAGTCCCCAGGGGTCACCCCCACCCCATGCCATTAAAGAAAGTTCTAATATCTTGTAAGTGGTCAAGATCCCCACCCCTAAACCATATATATTCTGGTTTGTCATGCTAAGATGGTTTGAATGATATACAGGGTTAGTCCCCAGGGGTTATCCCAACCCCCTGCCTTTTGAGAAAGTTCTAATATCTTGTAAATGGTTGAGATCCCCACCCCTAAACCATATATATTCTGGTTTGTCATGCCAAGATGATATGAATGATATACAGGGTTAGTCCTTAGGCATCACTAATTCAAATAACTTTACTGGACCAAACCAATTTTCACTGGACTTTGCCCAATGTCAGGCGACCCTGGGAATTACGAATTATGGGAGCTTCGTTTGGGAGACTTCGTAACAGCATCCTGTTACAATCATTTCTTGTTTTGCCCATTATTCTCTATTGTTTATTTTGTTCTTTTTTTTTCTCTATTGTTTTTTTTTTCTTTTTTTTCTCTATTGTTTTTTTTTTTGTGGTGTTTTTTGCCCTTGATTCTGTGCTTTTTGTCCGTTATGGTCTATTCTGTAAACCCTTTCCACACCCTCATTTAAGGATCACTTCCATTAATGCTTTAAGATAGTTATTATATTTTCATCACCCCAGGCCCTTGAAGAGAGAAATACCATTTGTATAGATTTTAAAATTTTTTATGGGATTCATTTTGCCCCTCGTAGGTATTAAACAAGGACATCTAATCACAATACATGAAGTTTTTTAAGTGTACAGGAATGATCATCTACACATCTCTTACGTATAACATGTATAATTACAGGATGCTATTCTATTTTTAGGATCATACAATCACTATACATGTATTCCTACTGTCCTTCACATAATGGTCTGTCATATATGAATTTTTTAAAAAATTTTCTCAGGAACTACCCGGTAACAATCAAAATTACCGGAAATTTATTATCAAGTTTCATGTGAGCATGCTACATGTATGCCATGTTGTTTGGTTAAACAACTTCCTTTTTACAGAAAAAAAAGCTCAAAGTACATTGTTCTCAGAAAATTTCTTCTAAGGTTGTGCTTTTAATTTTTGATTTGGATGGTTTGTCATGAATATGTAGGCCTACATATAGTACGTAGATTCAAAATAGATCTGAGTTGAACATTTATAAGATGGTATAATTTTATTCGTTGATCTGTATTCGACCTTAAAGTCATGTTGAAGTATATTCATCATGTTCATGCAAAACTAAGAAAAAGACTAAAGGAAAAATTATCAAGTTTCCAGAATGAAATCTTGCATTTTAAACTATTTATTTTAATCCTTGCAGCATTCCATAAATAATCCCTTATATTACATGTATTACAATGAGGGTTGTGGTATTAATGTAACTTAGCCATGTTAAGGCAATATGTTGCAAACTTAAAATTAAAATTGCTTTTCAAATAGATCAACAATAACTGTTCACTGTTGCGTTATATTATTAAATAGAGTGAAATTGCTTACTTGCTTATTTGGCCTCTATACTTAAATTTTTGTCAATAATGATCTTATATACAAATTACATGCAGTGCCTAATTTGGGGGAAATGCCACATCATTATTACTTAATAATAAGAAGCAATGTGATGCTTAATGAAACTGCAGGATGATATTGGCTTAGCAATTTTAAATGTATAGCTTTAGTTCATTTCAACATGATTTTATTTGTTACCTCGGAAAAGGTTCATATTCAATTTACAATTAATTTATAATTTATTCATGTAATCAAAATATCATTGGGTGATACATTGATGTTCAGTGTAGTACACGACTGTTTGTATGAGACATGATGTAAATCCTTAATATAAGAAATGTTGATATGTTACTTATTTAGTAAACAGGGGAAAAGATTATATCATAAGATTAACATTACCATAACAGATTTTATTGAAAAAGAATCAGTTTTGGCAATTTTATATATTTCATTCATAATTTATTACTCAATAAAATGTTATGTTGGCTTAGGTGGCTTAAACTGAATGTTGTTATTACAGGATTAACCCAATAAGTTATATGCAGACAGTTAACATTTCTATTCGAAAGTCCATCTTGTAAGAGGATTAGAGGATTTATACATTCATCTAATCATTATTGAGTAGAAACGATAAATCATCTATTACGATGCTGTTAAATGTTAACCGTACAAATATGCCCTTTAGCTGCAGTTAAGTCACTATTACCTAACATCTCGCAATACCAGAGATATTTTAGTCTTAGAGGTTTTCCCCTTCAGTCCATTCCATGGAAACTTAGGATATATCATTGCTATTTCATCACTGTAATCCATTTTATGGGCATCTTGAAAAAAAAATTTATGGGCTCTCTGACATTCAGTCAAACTTACAAATTCTCTCTGATTGAACATCTTTATTGAAAACCATTTAGCCTGACCAATACATGTATTGTCAAGCCTGGTATCTGGACTGATAGTTTATGTTACTGGATATGTCAGAAGATTTTATGTCTGCATAAACTATTTGTATAAAGCTTTATATTTCAAAAGGTATAGACTAGAAGAGCTGGAAGCTTCATATCTTTTATACAGATGCCTTTTGTTCTTAAGTTCTGTCTGGCCTATGTCTGTTGCCGTTGACTTGATTTTTGCCTTGCCTAGACGGAATCAAAAAGCGAGACATAGGTATGCTGTTTCTGGCGGCGGTGGTGGCAGCGTCAACAATGTATTAGTTTGTGATTAGGTCTAGTTTATGGTGAACCACTAGTGGTAGGTCAATAATATTTGGTATGCAGTTGTATAAGCATTGGCGCATCTCATTACCATGGAGATTATTTGGCCCTGCCCCCTCAGTCATGGTTTATTGACTTTGAAACTTTGCTTAGTTCACATGTATTAGTTTGTGATTAGGTCAGTTTATGGGGAACCACGAGTGGTAGGTCAATGATATTTGGTATGCAATTGTATAAGCATTGGCATATCTCATTTCCATGGAGATTATTTGACCCCGCCCCATCAGTCATGGTCTATTGACTTTGAAATGTTTGCTTAGTTTTCATGTATTAGTTTGTGATTAGGTCAGTTTATGGGGAACCACTAGTGGTAGGTCAATGATATTTGGTATGCAGTTGTATAAGCATTGGCATATCTTATTTCCATGGAGATTATTTGGCCCCACCCCTTCTGTCATGGTCTATTGACTTTGAAACGTTTGCTTAGTTTTCATGTATTAGTTTGTGATAAGGTCAGTTTATGGGGAACTACTAGTGGTAGGTCAATGATATTTGGTATGCAGTTGTATAAACATTAGCATATCTCATTCCATGGAGATTATTTGGCCCTGCCCCTTAAGTCATGGTCTATTGACTCGGAAACTTTTGCTTAGTTTACAAGTTACTGTTTGTGTTTAGGTTTATTTAAAGGGAATGACTTATGAAAAGTCAATGGTATTTGGTATGCAGTAGTATTAGCATTAGCACATCTCATTTCCATGGAGAATGTTTAGCCCTGTACCTTTAGTCATTGTTCATTGACTTTGAATATTTGCATAACTTACATGTTAAAGTATTGTTATTTTAATTTCAACAATTGCATTATCAAAATAACAAATAGGCGAGACATATCTCTGTGTTAACAGTTTATTTTCTGTTATTGTTTTGATACTTTATATAGGTCAACTATATGGTGTATGCATAGGATGATTGTATGCTGCACATGTTTGTTTGGCAGGTTTCATCTGATCTTGAACTTATTTTCTATGGTGGAATGTTAAGTTTTTTTTATGCCCCCGCTATAGCCGTGGGGGCATTTAGTTTTACCCTTGTCCCTCTGTACGTACGTCCCAAAATTGGTTTCCGTTCTCTAACTTGAGTTTGCCTCAACCAAATGTTATGAAACTTATACACAATGCTTATTACCACAAAACACAGATCAAGTTTGAATTTTGGTGGCGTCACTTTAACAGTTCTAGAGTTATGCCCTTTATAAATGGAAAAATTGCAAAAATTTTAGTTTCCGTTCTCTAACTTAAGTTTGCCTCAACCAAATGTTATGAGACTTACACACAATGCTTATTACCACATAACGCAGATCAAGTTCAAATTTGGGTAGCGTCACTTTTATCGTTCTTCAGTTATGTCCCTTTATAACTATATGATATGCAAGTGGGGGCATCATCTGTATCCACATGTGGACACTATCCACATTTATTATCAGATCTGTTTCTCAGATACTATTTATACAAGCAACAGTTTAACATATTTTGTGTATCAATGGTAATCAGAGTGTGACACAGATATTTCATAATTGTCAACCAAATCATGATATGAGTCCATAAAACTTTCAAAGAGATGACTGTAATTTTTCCATGAATGAACCCATGGTTTCATAGGAAATGTTGGCTTCGGAAATTATAGCGGCAGTAAGTGAGTTACTGTTATATGTTATATGGGGCAATAGGAAGAGGGAGCATGGGAGCACTTTACCTAATATTGATGATGCCACTTGTATACAATAACTGGTAGAAAAGTAAACCAGGATGAATTATTAACATTCAAAATAATGACTTGAATGTACAAAATTATTATAATTGTAACAAGTTGCATTTATCACAATGCTAGACATGCATGCTTTGGAGAAATACTAAGAAAGGAAAAACAATTAGCTAATTTATTCAGTTTCTTATGCATTTAAATAAACATGTTTAATGTGTTAAAACATTCTAAAAGTACAGTATTCCAATATAAACATAGGTATAGAATTAACATATATGATAAAGCATTTGTGTAAACATGGTAAAGTATGCTCACTGATTAACTTAGTATAATATTTATAGAAAAACATTTAGCAAACATACCTAGCTTGAGATTTTAATGTTTCCCAGAATTATTTTATTTTTGTCTTTTTATTTTAAACAATTTCTAATATTATACTTCACGTAAAAATGCAATATTTTGATTGGCTTATACAAGGGTGTTAATTTACTCTATTCTATGGTAAATACTCTATTACCCTTCACGGAGACGCTTGATCAAGTGTGCGCTTTATTAAATACGACTCTATCCTATGGCAAATACTCTATTACTTTTACGGAGACGCTTGATCAAGTGTGCGCTTTATTAAATACAGATGGTTGTTATGTACAAGACGTCATAGTTTATTACTTTGAATTTGAAATTTAATAGACAGTAATAACAGAACATTCAGTATAATAAATTAAATAACACATATCTGAGAGGGTGATAGAGCAGATTGTTACCCCTCGAAAAGACATTGTCAACCTTGGCTTCGCCTCAGTTGACAATGTTTTCTCGGGGTAACAATCTGCTCTATCACCCTCTCAACTATGTGTTATTTATATATTGTTAAATTAAAATGGTTATACAACATAATCTACAAGAGCAATTTGTAAGTATTTCATAAATACTACTTAGTTTCACAACTTCTGCACAACTATGGCACATTGAATTTTACACCAAAAACACCACCTTAGGACATATATTGGAAAGAGTTCCATATGGCACCCCTACGGAATAAACTGTAATACATTATTGTGTTCTTTTAGTATGGTGGGGGTGCCATATGGAACTTGCATATTATAAATTGTTTTAATTAGTTTGCTATCTTCAATCACAGAACTGGAATTTCATTTGTGGTGGATTCGTCAAATATTATTACCCCTTTTTACTTCAGATTCAGAAATTGCATGCATTTATCATGTTTATTTATGTGATTGTTGATTGATGGACAAAAAAATATGAGATAAATTATCACAACTTCAGGAAATTCTCCATACAAATAATGCTGTCAAAATTTAAAATGTGGCTCTTTTTGCAAAATCCATCCAGTAAAAACATTGCAAAAATTCTGTATCAGCAAGAGCATTTGTCTTTTTCTTGAGCATTTCTTCTGTCTTGTTTTCCAATGAGGCAAGTGATATCGGCAGTGGAGTACACCTTTGGGTCTCTTCTGAATGTTTCAATAATTTTTGTTGTCAGTTTTTCAAAAGCTTCCGAGATATTCATATCCTCCTCAGAACTAATTTCAATGTACATAATTTCAAGATGTTCAGCAAGTGCTTCAGCTTTTTCTCTGGTTACTTCCCTTTTCTCATTGTCATGACACTTTGTGCCAACAAGAATTATCACTAAGTTTTCTGGATGAAGAGCGTACTGTTGTAGATCTTGAAACCTACAAAATGTTGAAAAATTTGAATAACAATATATATATAAGTTACAATACAAAATTGAAAGTAACTACTAGTAGCATTAAAGACCCTCAATCTTTTAATGGATTTTGTTATTTTGAACTTTTTCTGTTCATATTTTGATTAATGATCAGATAATGGATTAAAAATTTCAAATGTTTCTTAGGTTACCATAATGCTGCATAACAGGGGTGTTTTAACATTTGTCATGGTTAAATATAGGATTTCAGTTTAAAACAAGCATCCAACAAACGTAAGCAACACAGTTGTTGACCTCAATCTATAAGTATTTTCTGGTTTTATTTAAATTTGGCAGCTGTCTCATAGACCTATGCCATGATTTTCCTTTTATTCACAATATTTCACCTGACTTAATATAGTCAGTGTACCCTGCCGGCCCTCCAAAGGTGTCCTTATATTACCCCTGTTAGTTATGCAAAAATTCATTGAAGGAACCAACAACGCAAATATATTATAGATACAGCAATGATATAAATTTTTCCAAACTTACCATGAGGGAATATGTTCAAAGGTATGGATTTTAGTGACATCAAACATCAAAAGACAACCATGAGCCCCTCGGTAATATGATGGAGTTATACTTCTGTATCTTTCTTCACCTAGTATTGAAAACAAAATTCAAGTTAGAGAATTTTTCCTTGTTATTTACCAAAGGTCTTGCTAAATAGGCTTTATCTATAATATAACTTTTTTTATCCCATCTTCTGTAAAAAGTCTTTTTGCTATATATAATAGTAGCTGGATGTGACCAAATAGTCTGGAGTTATGGAGACATGGGGCAGGCAAAACTACCATGCCATTAAAATCTACAGTCAAGTGGTATTGATTAAAAGTTACTTTGCAATATACTAGATCAGACCTTTAAATTTACATGTGTATATATAGGTAAATATGATCAGATTATGGCATAATATATAAATGTCCCAATTTTACTACTGTACTGGTACTTAAAATTCTAGTGTAAATAAACTGGAAGAAAAACGTGATATCTTCACATGTCTTACAGATCTATGGGTACATGTTTCTTATAATATATTATATAGTTGGTCAGTTGATAAGATTGAATTGAAATTTTGTTTAGTTAAATGTCAGTTTTATCATAATGGTTTACAGTGTACTAAAAATTTGATTGTCTAGCATGTCTAGTTTATGAAGGAGTGGCGAAAGATACCAAAGGGACATTCAAATTCATAAGTTGAAAAATAACCAGACAACGCCATGGCAAAATTGTGAATCATTTAAAACACATTTTTTGGTAATTTGGAGAATTTGTGTTGATGTGAAGTTATATGATAATATCTGTTTAATTTATTAATAATTTAACTTTTAAGTTGATGGGTGATTAGTGACAAACCTTTCTAAAATTGTCCTTTTTATAAATTTATAAATTTTGAAGAAACAAAGGTTTCAACTGACCTTCATGCAAAGTTTACCTGGATTGGATTTAGCTATTTTTTTAGGTCCTATTTGTTCACATGGGTCCTCAAAGGTTTCGGTTCTTATATGTCCTTTGCTTTCAAATATTCTGCTTTGAACGTTCCTGAATCCTGATGAAGGTTAATCCAGAAAAGTGTTTCCTACACATGAAATTTATAACATGTTGTTTTCATATTTAATGGCTTGAAATTTTGTAGAAACACCATTTTATTGTTGAAGGCTGAACATTTGCCTATTGTAGATGTTTTTGTGTTATTTGTGTCATTAGGTTACTGTCTCATTGATGTACACCCTCCACGTCTCCTATTCATACATTGTACATAGTTATGGTATTCCATTTATTCTGTAAGAGACTTTTCAAATAGTCAAAAACCAGTACGGTGATCTATAGTTCTATGTCATTTGGTCTCTGGTGGAGACTGAGAGTTGTCTCATTGACAATCATACCACATCTTCTTATTTTTATATTCAAAATTGAGCAACTCTGTTGTTAAAAGTATGAAAAGGACTTATTTTCATTGACTTTAAAAATAGAGGGTGAATAATTATTGGTAGCTCTTTTTGCACATTTAAAAATCATGTGTAGATCATTTCCCCATCATTATATGTGTCACAGTTTTTACCTTGATCAACATAACCTATTAGAAAAAAGGTTAAGATTTCTTATAACCTGCTTTTATTTCTTTTTGCCATGCCCTGATGACTATATACATGATATATGATAGTGTTATATTTCTATAATAATTTTTTGTCATCATGATCATGCTGAAATATGAATTTTGAAAAAAAGAACGAAATGATTAGATTTATTAATTTTATTTACCTGCTGTGTCGAATATCCTGAGTTGAATATGACTGTCTTGTAGTTGTATTTGTTTATTGTGGCACTTTTGGATTGCAGTAAGTCTTTTCTGTAGTATTAAATCTTGAGAACACAAAGAACATCTACAGTAAGATCTGAGTAAAGATGATTTACCTACAGTAGAATCTCCTATCAGTATCAGTTTTACATAATACTTTATTCTTGAGATTTCTGGTATTGATGATCCTTTCCCATTAAGTGTCCAGTACAAGTCTGTCTTTTCATTCCATTTTGATTTAGGCTTGAAGTTTGTAAGAAGTTCATTCATGTTTGTATGTCTGTTATATTGAAATTTATTCTTTTAATGTACACATGGTGTAGGTCCATTTTTTGTTTGTCAATTATTTAAATATCACACAAAAAAAGGCACCTCTGTCCATTTTCTTCATTAGGCTTTAAGCTCTACAATAGAATTGTTAATTATTCAAACTGTTCCAGAATCAATTCCAAAGGAACTCTCCAACCATTTCCTATTCAGTGACCACAGTTTTATTTATAAACAATGATAATTGTCAAGCGGCTATTTAAACATGGTCATGTTTGAACTCAGTGGTCAGTTGCAGATAACAAACAAAGAGCTTTACCTGGGTTAATAAATATGCTTTAACCCAGCCAAAGCCTTGAACTTCCAAGGACAAATATGATAGACTCAATGAAAGTTTAAATAAATCCATTAATAGACTATTTATTTCATTTCTTTAGCTTAAATGTATGCCTTAAGCCTTTATATGTAAGTAAATAATGTTATGCTTTCAATGCCTTATTCAATTAGATTCAGATAATTAAAAGCACTCAGAATAAAAAGTTCAAAACATTACCTAGAATTCACCAAAATACTGGTAGAGCTTTCCTTGATAGTGAAGTGTCTCTTAAATTAAACTACATATATGCATTAGTTTTATATTGTCAGCTGATCATTACATTGGAAGATAACATAATGTGTAGTTGGGTTGCTGTCTCATTATTTAATTTTATTCAAATATACTCATGAGGGATATTAAGTTTATACTGCTAGGTCATCCTAGATTTATTCTATATTTTATGTTAACCTTATAAACTGTCAAAACCTTAGAAGAGGACATGAACATACTGTAAACCAACTTATTTTCGCGGATACTTTATTTCGCATTTTTGCCGTTTCAATTCGACTTCGTGACGCTTTTTTTAGCTCACCTGGCCCGAAGGGCCAAGTGAGCTTTTCTCATCACTTGGCGTCCGTCGTCCGTCTTCGTCCGGCGTCGTCCGTCGTCGGCGTTAACTTTTTACATTTTGAACTTCTTCTAGAGAACCACTGAATGGAATGAAACCAAACATGGCATGAATGTTCCTTATGAGGTGCTGACCAAGTGTTGTTACTTTGTAGCCGATCCATCATCCAAGATGGCCGCCAGCGGGGGACTTAGTTTAACATAGGACCCTATGGGAAATGCATACAAATGACTTCTTTTAGAGAACCACTGAATGGAATGTAACAAAACATAGCATGAATGTTCCTTACAAGGTGCTGACCAAGTGTTGTTACTTTGTAGCTGTTCCATCATCCAAAATGGCCACCAGTGAGGGACTTAGTTTAACATAGGACCCTATGGGAAATGCATACAAATGACTTCTTTTAGAGAACCACTGAATGGAATGAAACAAAACATAGCATGAATGTTCATTAGGAGGTGCTGACCAAGTGTTGCTACTTTGTAGCTGATCCATCATCCAAGATGGCCGCCAGCGGAGGACTTAGTTTAACATAGGACCCTATGGGAAATGCATACAAATGACTTCTTTTAGAGAACCACTGAATGGAATGAAACAAAACATAGCATGAATGTTCCTTACAAAGTGCTGACCAAGTGTTGTTACTTTGTAGCCGATCCATCATCCAAGATGGCCGCCAGCAGGGGACTTAGTTTAACATAGGACCCTATGGGAAATGCATACAAATGACTTCTTTTAGAGAACCACTGAATGGAATGTAACAAAACATAGCATGAATGTTCCTTACAAGGTGCTGACCAAGTGTTGTTACTTTGTAGCTGTTCCATCATCCAAAATGGCCGCCAGTGAGGGACTTAGTTTAACATAGGACCCTATGGGAAATACATACAAATGTCTTCTTTTATAGAACCACTGAACGGAATGAAACCAAACATGGTATGAATGTTCCTTATGAGGTGCTGACCGAGTGTTGTTACTTTGAAGCCGATCCATAATCCAAGATGGCCGCCAGCGGGGGACTTAGTTTAACATAGGACCCTATGGGAAATACATACAAATGTCTTCTTTTAGAGAACCACTGAATGGAATAAAACCAAACATGGTATGAATGTTTCTTATGAGGTGCTGACTGAGTGTTGTTACTTTGAAGCCGATCCATAATCCAAGATGGCCGCCAGCGGGGGACTTAGTTTAACATAGGACCCTATGGGAAATACATACAAATGTCTTCTTTTAGAGAACCACTGAATGGAATGAAACCAAACATTGCATGAATGTTTCTTATGAGGTGCTGACCGAGTGTTGTTACTTTGAAGCCGATCCATAATCCAAGATGGCTGCCAGCGGGGGACTTAGTTTAACATACCACCCTATGGGAAATACATACAAATGTCTTCTTTTAGAGAACCACTGAATGGAATGAAACCAAACATGGTATGAATGTTCTTTATGAGGTGCTGACCGAGTGTTGTTACTTTGAAGCCGATCCATAATCCAAGATGGATGCCAGCGGGGGACTTAGTTTAACATGGGACCCTATGGGAAATACATACAAATGTCTTCTTTTAGAGAACCACTGAATGCAATGACACCAAACATGGCATGAATGTTCCTTATGAGGTCTTGACTAAGTGTTGTTACTTTGAAGCCGATCCATCATCCAAGATGGCCGCCAGAGAGGGACTTAGTTTAACATAGGACCCTATGGGAAATACATACAAATGTCTTCTTTTAGAGAACCACTGAATGCAATGAAACCAAACATGGCATGAATGTTCCTTATGAGGTGCTGACCAAGTGTTGTTACTTTGAAGCTGATCCATCATCCAAGATGGCAGCCAGCGGGGGACTTAGTTTAACATAGGACCCTATAGGAAATACATACAAATGTCTTCTTTTAGAGAACCACTGAATGCAATGAAACCAAACATGGCATGAATGTTCCTTATGAGGTGCTGACCAAGTGTTGTTACTTTGAAGCTGATCCATCATCCAAGATGGCAGCCAGCGGGGGACTTAGTTTAACATAGGACCCTATGGGAAATACATACAAATGTCTTCTTTTAGAGAACCACTGAATGCAATGAAACCAAACATGGCATGAATGTTCCTTATGAGGTGCTGACCAAGTGGTGTTACTATGAAGCCGATCCATAATCTAAGATGGCCGCCAGCAGAGGACTTAGTTTAACATAGGACCCTATGAGAAATACGTACAAATGTTTTCTTTTAGAGAACCATTGAATGGAATGAAACCAAACATGGCATGCATGTTCCTTTTGAGGTGCTGACCAAGTGTTGTTACTTTGAAGCTGATCCTTCATCCATGATGGCTGCCAGATGGGGACAATGTTTAACAAAGGACCCTATGGATGATACATACAAATGTCTTCTTTTAGAGAACCACATACTGAATGGATTGAAACCAAACATGGCATGAATGTTCCTTATGAGGTGCTGACTAAGTTTTGTTACTTTGAAGCCGATCCATAATCCAAGATGGCCGCCAGCGGGGGACTTAGTTTAACATAGGACCCTATGGGAAATACATACAAATGTCTTCTTTTAGAGAACCACTGAATGGAATGAAACCAAACATTGCATGAATGTTTCTTATGAGGTGCTGACCGAGTGTTGTTACTTTGAAGCCGATCCATAATCCAAGATGGCTGCCAGCGGGGGACTTAGTTTAACATACCACCCTATGGGAAATACATACAAATGTCTTCTTTTAGAGAACCACTGAATGGAATGAAACCAAACATGGTATGAATGTTCTTTATGAGGTGCTGACCGAGTGTTGTTACTTTGAAGCCGATCCATAATCCAAGATGGATGCCAGCGGGGGACTTAGTTTAACATGGGACCCTATGGGAAATACATACAAATGTCTTCTTTTAGAGAACCACTGAATGCAATGAAACCAAACATGGCATGAATGTTCCTTATGAGGTCTTGACTAAGTGTTGTTACTTTGAAGCCGATCCATCATCCAAGATGGCCGCCAGAGAGGGACTTAGTTTAACATAGGACCCTATGGGAAATACATACAAATGTCTTCTTTTAGAGAACCTGACTGAATGCAATGAAACCAAACATGGCATGAATGTTCCTTATGAGGTGCTGACCAAGTGTTGTTACTTTGAAGCTGATCCATCATCCAAGATGGCAGCCAGCGGGGGACTTAGTTTAACATAGGACCCTATAGGAAATACATACAAATGTCTTCTTTTAGAGAACCACTGAATGCAATGAAACCAAACATGGCATGAATGTTCCTTATGAGGTGCTGACCAAGTGTTGTTACTTTGAAGCTGATCCATCATCCAAGATGGCAGCCAGCGGGGGACTTAGTTTAACATAGGACCCTATGGGAAATACATACAAATGTCTTCTTTTAGAGAACCACTGAATGCAATGAAACCAAACATGGCATGAATGTTCCTTATGAGGTGCTGACCAAGTGGTGTTACTATGAAGCCGATCCATAATCTAAGATGGCCGCCAGCAGAGGACTTAGTTTAACATAGGACCCTATGAGAAATACGTACAAATGTTTTCTTTTAGAGAACCATTGAATGGAATGAAACCAAACATGGCATGCATGTTCCTTTTGAGGTGCTGACCAAGTGTTGTTACTTTGAAGCTGATCCTTCATCCATGATGGCTGCCAGATGGGGACAATGTTTAACAAAGGACCCTATGGATGATACATACAAATGTCTTCTTTTAGAGAACCACATACTGAATGGATTGAAACCAAACATGGCATGAATGTTCCTTATGAGGTGCTGACTAAGTTTTGTTACTTTGAAGCTGATCTTTCATCCATGATGGCCGCCAATAGGGGGACTTCCTTTAACATAAGACCCTATGGGAAATACATACAAATGCTTCTTCTAGAGGTGCACTGAATGGAATGAAACCAAAACATGGCATAAATGTTTCTTATGAGGTGCTGATTAAGTGTTGCTACTTTGTTGCCGATTTACTGTTCAAGATGGCCACCAGGATTTTTTATTAAATTACAGGACCAATATTAAACCAAATTTGGCCTCACTCATTATTAGGGTATCTGTTATGATTTTAATCTATTTTTACATGATTTCCAAAACCAAAGTAGAATCAGGTGAGCGACACAGGCTCTTGAGAGCCTCTAGTTTTGCGATGTTTTAATTTCATTGATTTATCAATATAACAGAAGATCAAGGTTTAACATCTTCGCGATATTTTTCAAGTCGCGAAAATTAATCGCTCACGAAAATTAGTTGGTTTACAGTATCATACTGTTTGATTAGCAAATATGGTGGTAGTCACTAAGA